ATACGCACCCAAACGGATCTGCAACTTTACCTAAGCACTGTCATAGATATTTATTACATTAATTTGAATATATATGCACTTTATGAAAATCGTAAACAGTCGTATTTGTATCTGTGAAATGTGTTTATGAGTATCTAAAATACCAAGATGATCTAAGATCAGTAAGATATTACATAGTAATTGATCACATTTAGATGTATTAATATGCTATATTTCAATTATTAATCAGTTTTTTATATAAAGTAAACTCCACATTATTTTTGTACAATTTGTTTTACATATATCATAAGTTCTACTACTACTATAACAGTTATCTATCAATTATTAATAATTTTATCATAAGATACTTGATCTTTCAGATTAGTTAATATTCCATGCTAAGCTTAAATGTTTCTCTTTTGAAAGTACTTAATCATAAATTTCTATTTAATATTGATTCGATTTATTGTCACAATTTCACTTTCGCTTTCATTTCAACAGAATGTTTCCGGACAGGTGGTGCTGATAACAGGTGGTGGCGGTGGCGTCGGACGTTTGATAGCACTCAACTTTGCCAGACTCGAAGCGCGCATTGTCATCTGGGACATCAATCAAGAAGGTGGGTTAGGCAACCGATGGGCTGCTGCTGCTGCTGCGGCTCATTAACGCCGGCAAGCTAAGTGATTGGAGCACGTCAGCATTGGCAATTAGCAGCTCGCTCGGCGGGTTAAGGAACCCTGCCACGGAGAAAGCTGCGTTACAGTTACAAAATTGATTAGCTAAGCGTGACTCTTCTCTCGACAGCCATCAAGACGACAGTTGATCTGCTGGCCAAGCATGGTTATAACAACTGCAGGGGGTATGTGGTGGACATATCCGACCGAGAGCAGATCTACCAGCGGGCAGCGCAGGTCAACGAGGATGTCGGCCCTGTTGACATACTGATCAACAACGCGGGAATCGTCTGCTGCAAGCCCTTCTGGGAGCTGCACGACCGCGTCATCCAGAACACCTACAACATCAACATTATCTCGCACTACTGGACGGTGAAGGCGTTCCTCCCTCACATGATGCGCCACAATCTGGGGCACATTGTGACCGTCGGCTCCGTCACTGGCATGCTGGGCACCTACGGCTGCAGCGACTACGCGGCCACCAAGTACGCCTGCATCGGCTTCCACGAGAGCCTCTTGACGGACCTCAAGGTGCACGGCTATGACCAGATACAGATGAGTCTCATTTGCCCCTACTACATCAACACGGGCATGTTCTCGGGCGTGAAGCCGCGCATGATGCCCATGCTGGAGCCCCAGTATGTAGCGGACCGTATTCAGGGCGCAGTGCTTCAAAACGAGGTCTGGTGTGTGCTCCCCAACTCCATCCGCCTGCTCACGCCGCTCAAATGGTTAGTGAGATCTCTCTCTCTCTCTCTGTTCTAATACATTTTATAATTAAAATTTTCTTTTCTCGCAGTTTGTTACCAGCCAAGATGTGTTGGGAGCTGATGTCGCGTGTGATTCGCGGTCCGGAGTCCATGATGCTCTTCCAGGGTCGCGGACGGGTGGCTGCCGGCTAGCAACAGAGCAAACGACTTAGCTTTAGTTTAAATTTAAATTGTTATAAGAGGCATACATATACATATCGATTTTGATTACCTGCAATCGGCTTCCCTTAGTCTCGCACTGTGGTTTGCTGGTAGTAGTGCGGCGCCAGCTCCGTGAGCCACTCCTTCTTGATGACCGTGACGTGGTTCATGAACAGCTTGGTCGTCTGCAGCAGCTCGCAGTAGACCACATATTGGGCCTGGGGCAGCGTATAGAGCGTGGAGTTCGGGTGAATGGCTAGCTCGGTGCCGCTGCTGATCTGCCGGTAGACCCCCGAGTGGTGCAGATACGCGACCTGGGTGAAGAAGCCCGCCGTGATGCACTTGCAGACCATTTCCACGTCGCCCTTGCAGGAGAATATGGCAATGCCGTACTTCTTCCTAGCCAAGTTCAGCAGCTGTTCACGGAGTTCGCAGGCGCGCTTTAGATTCCGATAGATGAGATAGTACTGGCCGCAGAACTCCTTGGTCATGCCCTCCTCCACAAAGGCGCTGTGCACATTGAGCAGGGTAATGAGGTCGCCCTCAGCCACCTCGAAGTGCCTATGGGCAATGCGCCCGCTCTGCTGGGCAGCCGCCGAGGCGGGACGCGAGAAGACGGACTGCACTTGGAGCATGGCTATGATCGTAATGATCTCTTCCGAGCAGCCCATTTGACCGGATATGTACAGCATCTTGGACAGCATGGCACTGAAGGGCAGCTCGGCCAGCAGGAAGCCTACAGGTCGCGTCAGCTGACCCTGCTCATCAATGGCATCAAGGGCGTAGAGCGTCTCCAGAGCGGACAACAGATTTTTGGCAGGCGGCGGCGACGGAAAGTCGAAGCGCAGGACGTTGCCAATGCCCAAGGCCTTCAGCTGCAGCACTGCTCCGCTCATCTCGCTTCGACGCATCTCTGGCGGCTGTCGTGGGGCCAGCGCATCGTAGTCCTCTTTCGTATACAGCCGATAGACTTTGCCGGGACGCACGCGACCCGCACGACCGGCCCGCTGTATAGCCGAGGCCTTGCTGACGGGCACGACGACAAGGCTGTCGCTGCACGTGGTGGGGTTGTACCACTTGACCTTCACATAGCCACAGTCGATGACGTACACAATGCCTGGGATCGTGATCGAAGTCTCCGCTATATTCGTGGCCAGCACCACCTTGCGGACGCCCTTGGGCGGGGTGAAGAAGACCGCCAGTTGGTCGTTGCTCGTCATGCTGCCGTACATGGGAAGCACTTTGAGATTGGTCGTCTCCTGGCTCGCTATGTATTCACGGAGAAGGTCCATGGCCTCCAGCACCTCTTCCTGGCCGGTGAGAAAAGCCAGTATGTCGCCGGGCGGCTCCTTCTGATGCAGTTTCCACACGGTTTCCACCGTCTCACGCACGTAGTCCGCACAGGGCTCGTTCAAGTAGAAGTGACTGACGGCGTGCATGCGTCCCTCGATGCTCAGCTTCACGCTGATGGGCTGCTCCGCTTCAGCGCCTGACCGTGGCCAGCTGAAGAACTCGCTAAAGAAGCTCGCATCGATGGTGGCCGAGGAGATGATCAACTTTAAGTTGCTGCGCTTGCGCAGGATCTTCTTCAAAAGACCCAGCACCATGTCAGTCAGCATATTCCTTTCGTGCGCCTCGTCGACAATGATGACTCCATACTGGGTGAGCAGAGGATCGGCAAGCAGCTCTCGCAACAGAATGCCCTCCGTCATGTACTTTATGTGAGTGTCTTTAGAGGTGCGCTCCAGAAAACGAACCACATAGCCCACAGTATCACCCACCAGTTCGCCGCGTTCCTGGGCCACACGATTGGCCAGCGTCACGGCGGACACCCGGCGGGGCTCCGTGACACCAATCATGCCTTTGCTGTGCCAGCCCCACTCGTAGAGGTACTGCGGCACCTGCGTGCTCTTGCCGCTGCCCGTCTCGCCGACCAGGATGACAACCTGGTGGTTTTCCAGGCAGTACAGGATTTGGTCGCGATACTTGCGAATGGGCAACCGTTCGCGCTGCTCAACTAAACCCAGATTATGATTGGCATTGAACACGAAAGCTGAATTTTGCGGCTCCTGATAGCCACCTCCACCTTCATCGATGACATCGTCTGTTTCTGGCCTTATAAACTTTGGCTTAAACGTTGCCATTTGTGCTAGTTGCTTTGTATTGCTGCTGCTATTTCAATTATTTACCTCGATTCATGCTATCGATAAGTGGAAAGCCGGCAGATTTAGTGGCGGCTTGTCGATATCAGACCGATGGTGCAGCATGTCGATTTAGTGCTGTAAAACGTCTGCTGCTATCGAGTAAAGAGAAGCTATCTCATGGAAGCCCGATATATGAGTAATTACAAATGTCGTACAGGCGCCAAATTAAATATTTGAATCCCTGGAGAATCTAGAATTTTTATGCGCGAAATGCATTGTTTGGCTCAACGAATAAAACGCTTTAAGTTATTGAATTTCTAGATTTATGTTTTTTTTTTTTTTTTGAAAACTTTAAATCATGAAAATATTTACTTAATATCACTGATTCTATAAACAAGTTTATATTGTTAGCATTTAAAATTCATTTAGGGGGCGATTTCTTTTTTGTTTCTTTTGCTATTTACTTTTGCCTTGTCCTGGGCAACATTTTTCAAAAGGATACGTACACACACAAGAAGAGCTAAACTAGTTTCATACTTATCAAATAAATGTACACAAACCCTTTAATATAATACCTTAATAGTTAAATAAAATGTCTTCTTATTTATTAATTGTAATAATAGTAAACTAAAAGCAAATGTACTTTCTATTATGTATGTTTGTGGCCTGAATATGGAACTCTGTGCTCTGTTCAAGTTCTATGTATCGAATCGAACGATTAATCCGGGAATTTTCCATGAAGTGCTTCTTTCTAGGTGCGTGCATCTAAATGTAGATTTTTCTTACGATTTGTTTGTATATATTTATATTTGTTTTCCTTTTTTTAGTGAGTGCTTTTCTGATATATATGTATGTAAGTTTGTAAATTTGATTGCATTTTTATTGTATGTTCGTTAACACTCTTAGATATAAGATTAATTCTTGTTTTCTTTTTCTGTATATTTATTGTTTTAATTACAATATTTAAGTGCAATTTGTTTACCTCTGTCAACAAAAACTTGTTATTATTATTATTTTTCTTTGTGAACTCATGAGTTTTGATTACTTTATTTTCGTATACTCTGTCTGTCTGCTCTGCATGTGACCCATTTTTCTATTTTCCCATTTCCGTTGTCCATCAAAACTGAAACAAAGCCCCTGCTAAAACACTTGAATGACATTTTGTTATAATTTTTATACTAAATTGCATTTAGTTGTAGTTCTAATTATTTTATCTATATAAATTTGTATTTGCAATTTATATTATTTTTCATTTATTTTCTTTGGCTCTGTCATACACTAGATATTAATATATAATAATATATTTAAAACGTGATCCATTTGGTTTATTTTTAACACACTATTTTGTTATTTTTGTATCCCATTTGTCATGGGCCTTAAAACGGTTTTAAGCTACAGTAAAATATTTTCAATACTTGCTGCGAAGCTTAAGTCTTAGCTGTGTAGTTGGCTACAAATAAAGTGTGTATAAGTTCATACGCTAAAAAAGGTGTAATTGATGCTCAAATACATATATATTGTATTCCTTTTCCTTGTGTTTTTTTTGTTTTCTAGTATATATAATTTTTGCTTAGCAGTCTAGAGAGTTGAAAAGCATTTGTAAAGACTTATTTGCAGTAAAAGCGCCCTTTATAAGCGTAAAATACAATACATATAAAGAAAATATTATTGTTACCAGAAGAAAGCTTTAAGTGTGGATGTGGGTGGGCAAAGGCGAAAGCAGCCCTCGATCATAGCTTGGCCGATAATTTGAATGGCATACGGCTTTGTGGTGGAATGACACCACATAATGCTGATGGCAAAGGCTTGTAGGCGAAGAAGAAAGCGAAACGAACGGCTGTGGAATGACATCATATGACACCAATATACTTCACGAATGCTGTGGAAAGCATGCGAAAAACAAAGCGAAATGAGAGCACTCAGTATGCTGCATTAGTGTTGTAAAATGCAATATTAACTGCAAGCGACATTGCGCTGGTAACAGACGAAACGATTCCAATTGCCACTGCAGTGTATGCCAGAGGCAAAAGCAGCAGGTGTCATTCCACTATAAACTAGCAAAATGGTGATTTGTCAATACGTGAATTGTGTTTTGCAGCAGCTCGAACTTGCGTCCAAACATTCGAAGCCCACGGCTTAACAGCTTGATGGTTCCCCTCCGGTTTCATTGGTAAGGACATACACACATACATATATATATATACATATACATATGTACATACATATATACCCATTCGATCATTTATCACATGCTTTGCATTTGGGCCGCTCAACGCGTGTGCGCCTGTGGCTACGGCTTACAGCTTCTTCAGGTCAGATTGCGGCTCGGTTGGACTAATCGGCGACATTTCGACGCTGTCCAGTAAGGGAGTCTTCTCCTCGCTGCAGCTGCTGCCCGGTGCATCGTCCATCTCCATGACAAAGATGCGGGAGAGCTCCGCTCCGCTTAGAGTTTGCCTCGATGGTGACTCGTCCACGGAGCTGTTGTCCTTGCTGCTGTTGTTGCTGCTGCTGCTGTTGCTGTTGCTGCTGTTGGTGTTGGTGTTGCTGTTGCCAATGCTGTTGCCGTCGACGTCGAGTGCCTGATCGAGGGACTTGGATGGGGTGCGATAGTTGGCCGTCTTGTTGGCAGTTGGGGCAAATTGGGGGCTTAAATTCGTTTGGCAGGTGAGCGTGGCCAGGGATGTGGTCTTAATATTGGTCGTCTTCAGGTGATTAATGGAGCAGCTGCTCCAGCGCAACTGCTGCTGGTGTTGGTGTTGGTGTCCATGGGCGTTGCCGCTGCTGCTGTTGTTGACTCCAGCTGCGGATGAGGAGACATTATTGTCATCGTTGAAGCTCATTTCGTCCTCGCTGCCGCTGTGCGTGTTGTTGATGGCTGTCTGCTTGAGCCGCACCAGATGCCGCTCCGAGTACGATTTGCGTGCGTCCATGACGCGCAAGTAGTCAGAGGATTCGCCCAGATCCTCGCTCTTGGAGCTGCAGTACCGTCGCGTGCCCTGGCCCGCCTGGCCACAGAAGCTAGTCGTGACACTCAGCGACCGGCGACTGCCCTGCGAGCCGGGCGAGAGATGGGCCGACGAGTGACTGGGCGAGTGCTCCAGCAGCGAATCGTTGCTCTTGGCAATGCGATTCTTGCGATAGAATTTGCTGTCCCTCCACAGGGTCTGGCGCTGGCTGCCCGAGGAGCTGCCGGTGCGCTGCAGCTCCATGTTGCAGGAGCCTGGGTGATTGGTGGGCGACGATTGGTCTTGGCTGGACGAGGTCTTGCTGATGCGGAAGGAGGCGTGCGTCAGCTTCTTGTACTTCTCACTCTGCATGTTGACGCGATTGTCCGAATGGGTGCGATCCGACATGGGCATGAAGGCATTATCAATGCGTCGCTCCTCTTCCAGTGAGCGGAAGGCCAAGCGATTGACATGTTTCAAGTGTTGCTTATCTGAGCTGGAGCGCTTGGGCGACATGTCCTCGAAGGAGCTGACCCGGTACTTCTGCGAGAAGACCTCAATCATGCTGGAGCGCTTTGAAGGCGATGTGGTGTAGATAGAATTCTGATCGTTAACGAGAATCTTGGGCGGATCAAATTGCTGCTGCTGCTGCTGCTGTTGAGTCTGTGCAGTGGAGGCTAAGGAGGAGCTGCTGGAGTTGCTGGTGGCCGTGACGAGAATCTTTGGGGACAGCGAGACGGGGAAGTGCTGTGGTCGAATGTGGCCCAGGGAGGCGCAGCCCGAGCCAGATGAAGTGGAGCCCGTGCCGGACATGGCGTCGTCGATGTGCAAGAAGTTGCTGGGCGAGCTCTCGCGGCAAGGCGACGAGATGGCCGAGTCCTGCGAGACCATGCTGCGCGGTATGGTGGCCAGTTCCAAGCAGGTCTCGTTGGTGCCCGTTGTGGTGGCTATAATGACGTCTTCAACGCCTTCGTCAATCGGGGACGAGATGGACTGGAAACTATTGAGGCGAATGCTCGACGAGCCAATGGACAGGTCGTTGTCGGTCAGCGAACCGAACGCCGAGTCCTGCGAGGGATTGCTGCGCCCGTACTTCAGACACTTGAGCGAGTACTCCAGGCGGCGACTCTTGGAGTTCTTGTAGTTGCACATGTCTGCTGTTAGCTGGTGATTGAAGGAGGTATGCAAACGCTGCTGGCCACCGGCGCCCGAGCCACTGGCTACTGCATCAGCATCCTCCTCGCCCTCCCCCTCGCCTCCTGCCTCGTCGTCGTACTGCTCAGTCTCGATTGCCAGATTGCTTTGACTGCTGCTGCTGCAGCGTATCGTCGGCTGCGTCGTTGCCGGGGGCTGCTCCTGGGCATTGTCATCCGAGTAGAGCGCCGCATGGTCGCAGTAGTGGATGGGCGACTCTGTCGGCTCGTATTGCTGCCTGTGCTGCGTGCGCGTAAACGAGGACGACGCCGAGGTGGAGGCGGAGGCGGAGTGCCAGTGCTGCAGCCGCTGCAGGCTCCTCATGTGACAGCTGCTGCCGTTGCCTACGACAATCTCCTCGAGCAGCGCCTCCTCCTCCTCGCTTGATATGTCAAATGAGTCCATTGTTCGGCTGATGCTGTGGCAAGGCGAGAACAACAATCAAAATGCGATATACACGATATAAAAGCAATATGGCTATATAGATCTCAGCTCTGCTTGGCTTAGCTTAGCTTGGCTTGGCTTGGCTTGGCTTGGCTTGGCTTGGCTTGGATGCTGGCTACGATGCAGCGCACCTGCTTCTATTGTTTTTCTTACTCTTGACATTTTCTATGCGTGTTTTGTTTAGACTATGAATGAGTGTATGTGTGTCAATGTGAGTGTGTGAGTGTATCAATGTGGGCGAATGTGGGCGTGGCAGTTGAGGCATCAACAAATACTTGCGTGCAGTTCTATTGCAAGCGATTCGCGAGCTGTTGTCAATTGTTTTCAAAGCAGCTGCATTGATGAATCCGAACTGAGTGATTCTTAGTATTTCATTACTTTAAGTAATACCTGTTTTAAGTTAGCTACAATTTTATCCAAAGATATATTAAAATGGAGTCAAATAACCACATATTCATTTCCTAGCTATGACTAACTGTAACTAGATTTATAATCTACTCTTCATAATATTATTATTGCAGGCATACTCAGTTATTCGGCTCCACAATTAACTCTACTGGACTGGACTGGGTTTTTATCCTAATTGGATTTGAGTTAGTTTAAGCTTAAATAATTTGCTATTGTAAACTTACGATATTATTGAAGTATAGAACGTTTAAAAGTATAACCCAATGTTTTTAATTTTTCCAAGTTTCATTAAATGTTTCCAAAATGCAATCCCTAAGAGAGTTCCATTGCTTCAGATTTTCGTAATCTGCACCTATTTCTTATCTTCTGATTCTAAAGATAATTTCTACGTTTAAATTCTATTTAGATTTTAACTTACTGCATTGTTCTACATATACAAAAGTAATATATATGTTGATAACAATCGATTACATCTAAATATGTAAAAGCTACCTACTATTAAAAAATATACCCTTGCGAACGATCAACTTTATTATATTTAATTTTTATAATTTATTCTATTTTTGGAAATTGGACAGCAGTATGAATTATATGTATGTATAGCTACATATACATAGATAAGCCTGCAGGGGTATTCGAATGTCGGCAGGCCGAATTCATTAAATATACGAATAGAGGTTAACGTGCAATATTTATATGAAAGCCGAAAGAAACATCGATATTTGATTACAAACGTGCAGATTACAGTGTATAGATAGGGATAATTAATTTTAAAAAACACAAAGAATATTTATTAAAAGCATTTAAGCAAAGTTTGAAGAAGAAAAAATCATAACAAAGAACTAAAATTAATTTCTGAGTTCCATGAAATCTTTGCAGTGCTGCCAATTATTCGAGAATAAACGCATTCAAAACGGATTTGAAATTAATAAGAATCTTTGCGCATTTATTTCTAAACTTATTAATCATTAAACAATTTTTATTTTATTTTTTTTTATTTAAATTTTTATTTTTTTTATTTTGTATACTAATGAAATTCTATTCAAAAAATTTTTTATTTACTTTGATTTTAGTTTTAGTTCACTAAAAACTTCTGATTTGATAAATTTCTGGAAAACAGATTTGTATTTCTGTAGGAAATATCTGTATAAATTTGACAGATTCTCGGACAAGGAATTTCAAGCTCAAAAAGTTTTTTCTTAACTTTTGGAATTCAATCCCTTAAACGCCAATCGATTTTAACTGGGTTCTAAGTGTGCTAAAAAAGCTAAATTGGCAGCACTGATACCTAAATCTGACTTTGGTTCATTGGTAACCAAAGCTAAAACTCGAAATGGGCGTGGTTCACTTGTGCATTGAAGAGGCGGTGAGTGGTGCTTGGCGTTTGGTGGTTTTATTTTGGTGGTGTTGGCTTAGGTGGTTCGCCGCTTGGTGGTTTTTAGCATACAAAAATTTGCCACTTACCACGATATTGCTTAACACAAGAACAACAACAACAACAATTGCCTGCACTTCGATTCTCATATAGATCTAGATCTTATAAATATAGATATAGATCCTCCATTCTTAGGGCTTACAAAACTTGCAAATTTAGTACAAAAAATTGTTGTGCGCTGCTCAATTGATTAGACATACATATGTAAGTATGTACGCATATATAGAGAGTTTTATGTATATAGATATATAATTTATTTATTCAGGTATTCGTTTCAATTGCCATGTTAGGTTTTATCAAGAGTCTTACACATTGTAGTTGTGGTAATTGTATTTGTGAGTGATTTGTTGTGAATTTAATTAGTTTGCTTTGTTTTTTGTTTTTGTTTTTTTTTTTTTTTGGGTTTTTTGTTTTTATTTGTTTTTTTTTGCATCTTTAGTTAAGTTCTTTGGTTGGTTGTTTGGTTGGTTGGTTTGTTGGTTGGTTGGTTGGTTGGTTTGCTTTAGTACATACGAAAGACTTCATAGGGCGCAGGCGGTACACTGTAGTTAGTTTCGAAACGGGTTATGTAAATAAACAAATGCAGAAATGCAACAATTTGTAAATCATAAATAAAACACACACGTATGTTAGATAAACGAAAATGATCGTTGAGAGACATTCAAGGGCTGATCTGTATGTATTTAGATTGATGTAGAGATGAGGCTTGTGTAACTGCAACTGGTTCAGTTTGATTGTTGGGTTCGCAACACTAAGACATAGATTGAGTAGGATTTAGTTTGAGTTCGAGTTGTAGAGAGAAAGAGAGAGTAAACATTGCATACAAAATACTTTAGTTGAAAAGTTTCTCTACTTATATAGGTATATGTATATCATTAGTTAATATATAGAATATATAGAAGACATGCGATTTGGTTAAGGCAGCAAAAAAGAATAAATTTACACTGAGAGACACATATACATCGATATTTTGTATATGTATGTATGTATGCTTAAAATATACATGAGCAACGATTGTGAATTGGCCATTTAATAGAGTTGCCACCTCATCATCTTTCTAACCCTTCCTGCCCCTGTCCTCCCTCTCCTCTGCTGATATTACTTAATTACACTCGCCTCTGGCATGCATAATGTTTCGAGCTGCTATCTCGGCTAAAACATTACCATATTTACCTTTGGCACACACGCACACACGCACACACACACACACACACACTCATACGGGAAAACGGATAAGTGCAGAGGTGAAATACACATACACACACACACACGCACATATAGTACTAATACACATAACATACGACGCCATTTTTTTTGTTATTTGTGCTCTCATTTTGCATTTTGTAGTTTTTCTTTCCTGCTCAACTCTGTTTTGGTTTGTTTGTTTTAGGCTGTTGTGATATAGATATATATGTACACATATATACATATTTTTGTATGCGTGTGTGTACGTGAATGTGACATTTAATGTGTTATTCCTCATTACCCTGAAATAAGCTAGACCTACGCCAGCTGCAGGCGTAGAGAAACAAAAAAAGAAAAGCATCGAATTCTTAACATTTTTTGTTCTATATATTTTTTAGACAGCAGAAATAATATTTAAAAAAATGTTAAGCCTTTATTATCAACAAACGGAAAAGCATTAAAATGTATATAATATTAACAAGGCAAATTTGAATTCATTTAAAGAGTTTAACATAAAAGCAAATATTTGTATTATTAATTTACTTAGGACTCTCAAGTATTTAAATAAAATATGTTATGCAAATAAATATGTCTCTTCATGCAGGCTGAACAAATTTGAAACGCTAAGCTGAATACGTTAAGTCTAAAATGATGTTCTGATAGACTCTAAATATATCCTGTAATTTATTTTGAATATGCGTTCTCTATATCAGAGATGACTCAATCTCAGCTGGCAGCCTTTGTGTGCGCGTGTATGTGTATGTATGTGTGTGTGTGTGTGCGTGTAGGTGTGAGCAGCTATGCTATTGATTAGGCTTAGGAGAGCGGCTTGGGATACTCACCCAGTGCGTCGATCATGCGGCGTCGAAGGCGGGGTACAGGGCGAACTCGCCGCGCTGAACGAGCTGCCCAGCGAGGCGCATTGGCGCTTCTTGACGGCTTGCAGCAAATTCAATGTAGAACGGCTAAGACTCGGCTTGATTGTCTGGATGGGATGAAATATGTATATATAAAGTATAGGCTCGTTCGTTTCGTTCTCTGTCGTTCTACTTACACTGAAACACGGACCACGTAGCTCGCGTAAATCGATGCTACGAAATAGATCGCATAGGACTAGGTCCTCGACGGAGGGGCAAACGCCGCTGGGCGGCTCAAAGATAAGACCTAATATTTCCAGAACCTGTTGACGCAATGAAATGCAAAAATTTAGCAATCGCTCCACCGCAGCGGCTAAATTTCGGATGATTGATTACCTGGCCGATTTGTGGATAGTGCTGCAGCTCCATTTCGAGCACCCGCATGGACGGCTTCGGAGTGGTCATTTCCTGACCGGTGCACATTTCATAGAGCAGGTGGCCAAAGCACACGATGTCGACATTCTCGATTTCCGTTACGGAGCGAGACCACATGACGGCGTTGTTGCGCGAGTTGAGACCCAGTAGACCGTTCTCCAGGCCCGACAGCCTGAAAAGCGAAGCGAAACGAAACATTCAGCCACCACAAAAGAGATTGCATAATTGCGGAACGCTTGCCACGCCCTCTGACCGTCTGTCCGTCCGTTCCTCTGCTCTCGGCTGCTTCACGCCTCCCGCCTAATATGAATGCTAAGTGCCATTAGGCTTGTTTTCTCCGCAGTGGATGGCCAACACATGGCGACAACTTTTATGGCTGAAATAGCTATGTTTGTGTTTGTGTTTGTCTTTTACATCGCATCGAATGTGCTTATGTGGCAAAGAGCGCTCATCAAACGTAATATGTGAGCATTACTTTATGTTTATGCTTTGAGCGAAGAGCAAGAGTCGGAGATGCCCGATGCTAGGAGAACTCTAGTCCAAGCGCCATTTTGTGTTGTCTCCTCTCTTTTCATACGCTAATAGAAATCTCTCGTATGGCATCTCGACTAGCGACTCAGTTTTTATAACTCTGGCTGTCAAGGCAGAAGATTACTAAATGCAGTTGCTGCTGGTTCCTCCTCTTGAGCCTCCGTTTGACTTCACTCAACTTAAGAGTTCTTCAAACTAATGTTTAAACCGTATTGTAAATGAAATACATACATTTCTGCATATTACATATTGCCTTCTCCTCTTTTCTTGGCCCCTTTTTCGGGTTACACAAATCGTGATAAGTAATTCAAGCCTAAGAATAGATTAGCCACATTTGGCCAGCTCAAATCGCATATAGTCAACCTTATTTAGCTGCTTGGCATTCAGATTGGCAATTCGAACATTGAAATTGAATCGATTACCTTTTGGCATTTGCATACGCACAAGAAGAGAAAACTCGCCTAGCCACGCCCAAAATGTTTTAGCCCTTGAACGAGAACTGCAAAAAGTTAGAACTCTTTTTTTTTCTTTTGTTGAGTGTTTTTGTGCCCCGCGCGTTGGGTGGAAGGTGTTAGTGTGCAGCCGTGTGCACGGCTTGTCGCTTGCCATGAATGGCATGGAAAATGTTTTGGTTCGTAGAGCCCCACGAATGCAATTCACGAGCGAAAAAATTGCATAAAACTGCGTTGAATGGCTTTTGATTCGCCGAAGCGAAGGAATTAGTCAGCTGAGTGCTCACCTGGCCGCTCCGTTCTGTAGAATGACATTGCCGCTATGCAGGTGGCCGTGCAGCGGGAAGCCGCGCTCCTTCAGGAAGAGCAGCGCCTCCAGGATCTGACGGCCCAGGCGCTGCACCTGGCTGACGGGCAGGCCGTTCGGCTTGCGCGTGTACTTACGCGCCCAGGGCTCATTCCATTGGGCCTGGAAGAGATCGGGAGACAATTCGTATTAGTGCTCAAGAAAGAGAAGAGGCGGAGTGCGGCTCACCTTAAATATGAGATCCTTGAGGCTGCCGCGCGAGTTGAAGGGCGTGACCAGGCAGGCGTAGCTGTGCGAGCTGTTGCGCAAGAATCCGAGGTCCAGCACCGGATAGATGTACGGATGGTGCAGAGATCCGAGCAGCTCCATCAGTATTTCGCGCGCGCACTCGTCGGGCGGCAGATCCTCGAGGGCCACGCAGTCCGCTGGGAGCGGCAGCAGCGTCAGCAAACGATCTGTGCGCACCTGTTGCAGAAGGGGAAGTTGGGGGGGAGGAGTTAGTCAGCGCGTCTAATGGGATCGATTGGGCTGCCACTCACCGATGCGTCATTGACCAGAAACCAGTTCTTGGCATGCCGCGAGCCAATCTCGTCCAGATGTGCAATCACCTCGTAGCGCCCATTGGCGCTCTGTATCCACTCCTGCGTGGCGTTCAGTGCTCGCTCCCTTTGTGCTCGCTCCCTGGGACTGCGCTCCACAATGCCATTGCCGCTGTCGAGCGCTGAGTACTGATACTTGATGTTGGGTCTGCAAGATGTGGGCCACAATTTAGTCACTTCGATTGGAACTCTGTTCGCTTAGCTTTCGTTTGAGCGCATACAGAAAGGAATTCAAGCTATGGAAATTCAAATAGGAACTAGAACTAGTCATACTTTCACATTCATGATATGCCGATTATATACAGACGTAAGCGCTCGTAGCAGTGATTATTTCCTTGGTTATATAGCTAGAGAATTCAGCTGAAGCCCATTCCAATTCATAGTCGCCCTAATCTTAATTAAGATCAGACGCGAATCAGAGCAGATAGTAAAGTACATGGCATGAATGTCGCATCAAATGCTTTCGCTTTCGCTTTCGTGTTGTCGAGCAATTTTGTAGCATTTCACTTGACCACGAAGCATTATCGCATGCCACAGCCGCAGAGCAGACCACAGATCGCATGCCATGACAATTGTGACACGACAGTTGTGGGAGAGTTTGCCGAGTGAGGGCGGGGAGGGGAGAGCAGTCTGTTTTGGCACGCCATTGACATGCAAAGCGCATCCGCATTCGAATTGAACGCCGAAACACTGTGAGAACTTGTTGAAAAATAATTTCCACTAGGGAAAGCTGGCAAATATAGTTGGCAAACAAACGGAAACTTGCTGAACAAAGAAAAAAGGGCTGCCTAGATGTTGTGGCCAAGGGGAGGCAAAGGCAGAGGCGAAGGCGAAGGCGAAGGCGAGGGCAAGGCCTGCCTGCACAATGGCGCAGCGGAAACGGAAGCAAGAGTTTACCGTGTTCATTTTTTTTATATCTTTATTATATGTTTATTTTTAAGGAATATACAGACAAAGTGAGGGCCTGCCTGACTGACTGACTGACTGACTGACTGAGTGAATTTTGGCCAAGTGGCGGCAAATGCAAATGCAAAGTGGATAAACTGAAAAACGAAAGCGTGTCAAAAGAGAAAGCAAATTGCAGTGTCTCGAGACTCGAGTCTCGAGTCGCTGCGGCTTAATTGTGTGGCAAAGAGGCTGAAAGAGAAGTGACGGATGCGAAAAAGAAAGTCTGTTAACGAAACACAAACTGGATTCAAGTGCCACCACCTACCCACCCGCCCACACTCACACAGACCCCCAGATATGCCCAGACTGGGGGCGAGCTCATAAACAAACACTTAGGGGCCACTCAATCAAAACAGAGCGAAGGTTAAGCACATCCTCGGGTTAAGTTTAGCATGTGTTTGAAAATTTAATAAGGCAACGGAGAGTGCGACTGTGGCAGAGCCGCAACAAAGGCGTGTGTCATAAAACTTGGTCAAGAGACTTGCTTCGCGGCTCACTCGTGCGGCTAACGCGCCGTATACGCAATCTGTGTATATGTAGCCCCAAAACAACGTTGAGCGGGAAAGTATAAAAAGCATTGCAAGGCCTGACGAAACACAGCATTCATAACAAATTGACGCACACACACACACTCATACACTCACATACGCACACACACACAGTTGTTTTTGGTAAATGTCTTTGGCCAACGTTGCGTATGCTTCATATTTATATTGCAGCGCTTTCAGCTGTGCACTTTATAGTTTGTTGTGCTCTTCTTGCAGATGTTAAGTGCCACGACCTTGAATGCAACTGTGTGGCATATATATGTATGTATAGGTGAATATATGCTATACACATACATACATACATGCTGCACTGTGGGCTTTGCACTATGTATGCATTCATTTTGCAGATGTGTGCATGAATGCTGTTTGTGTTTGTTTAAGCTAATTTAAGCTAAAATGTTGCTCTCAGCTTGTGGCTTTTCGCTTGATGGAGTATTATCTAGAGGCAGATTTAATGAAAAAGTCATTGGCTGCTGGAAAATCTTTAAACATCGGAATATATTAATAAATCTAGAAAATTGTTAAAAGAAGAGCACAAACAAATACTCTTGCTGAGTTCACTCCGTAATTAACGTGCTCGAGTGTGAAGATTTTTTATTGCATACTTAGCAGGGCAGCAGCTGTGGGGCCTTTCCATACGTATGTAAGTGGGCGTGTGGACGCGGTTCGATGCTCGTTAGGGCCCACTCCGAAACACACCCATACGCACACACACACACATGTCGAAAAATCGCGAAAATAGATGCTTTCCACTTACACACGCGAACTGTAGCTTACGCTCGCTTGCACATTCATCACACGGCTCAGCACGCAGCACACAGGTACACAGATACACACACATGCACAGAGACAGAGACACACAAAGGTATTCAGAAGCACATACACGCCCACACACATACATATACACACACATCTGAGAGGAGGACTTTCATCAATGCGCGTCGCTTTCACTTTCCGAGTGAAATTTTCCAAGTTGATAATTTAATTTGCAATTTTTGTGCCTGCTTCTAATTTAAGCAGGTGCAAAACCTTGACAACTTTTACCTGTGCAGTGCTGCCAGCCCCTCTGCTTCGGCTTCTGCTTCTGCCTGGCAGCATATGGCACACCGAATGCATTTTATCATCACATTTAATTTCTATAAAAAGCGAAATTTCTGTGGCCCCGAGTCTTTTGTCCTCCTGCCCTTTTCATGGCAGTGATGTTAAAGCAATGCGAGTTTCGAGTGGATTCTCTGTCTAATTCTTTACAATTTTTGGGAAAGTTGATTTATGCATTATTAAATTCAAGCAGATAGCGAATTTTCAAGTTAATGAATTATTCTGGGAGTCCACTTGAAACGATTCCAGTTAATTTCGATTTTCTTTTTTTCTCATTCTGCCGGATGCCTTGTGGGGCAGCTGTGCTGTATTCACGTTCAAAATCAAGTTCAAAATAGTGAAGTGTTTTATTTTTTACTTTGCTGGTTTAAATTGTGGTTTCTGTGCACTAGAACTACGTGAAAGCATTGCGAACGCCATTAGCCGCTAATTATTTAGCATGCAAAGTGCTTCAGCTACAACAACAAAAAGCGATCGTAACAAAAAGATAAACTGAACGAGAACAAGAACAAGAAATAGAATCGAAATTGAAATTGAAATTGAAATAGAAATAGAAATTGAAACTAAAGCAAATGCACTTGAAATATCTGAAGAAGAAAAAATTGCCAAAAGAGCAAACGATAAAGAAAAACGAAAAGAAAATAGTAAGCGAAGTATACCAATTGTATGTTAAATATATATATATAGAGTATTAGTATGTCGTATAGTATGTAGATACAATGAGTTGAGTTGAGTTGAGTTGAGTTTTGAGTCTCTTTTTGGTTGGAAATTAGTTGTTGTTGGTTAGTTGATTCGTTGGGAGGGAAGTTAGAAATAATATAGTACATATAAATAGAATATGCAACCTGGTTGTTAGTACTGAATCTATAGTATCTCTACTTCCGGTTTCCGCTGGCATCGATTTGCTAAAAAAGAGCCTAGCAAGATTGTCTAACCTCGCGCTAACCAGTGGCGATTTCTCCGAGTGCTCGGATTGATCTGAGTTATCTTGCTCCGAGCTGGCCGACCGGTTGCTGCAAATAGAAGCACGCGAAAAATAACGTACCAGAAAGAATTTTGAGCAAATTTAAGCCAAACATTTCGAAACAAACAAAAATATGCAATAATGTGAGTTGGATTTTGATATTGTTTCGCTCCTTTGTAATTGTTGTGTATAAAATAGTTAATTTTGATTTTGAATAAGCATCAATGTAGATTATAAGCTAAAACTAGGAATATAAACACAAATATGAGAAGTCAGATGTTTCCCAGAGTTGGAAAATAAAATTTAAACAAAATTAAAATGAAATTTCTTTCCCTTTCTTTCTTTCATAATTGTGTTTACAGTTTGAAGAAGCTTCGTTATAGACTATATAAACTAAAACTAGTATAATTAACATTGATGAGAAACCTGTGCATTTACTGTGTGGCGTACATTTTTTTCTTGTTTTTATTTTTTTATTTTTGGCGAACAGCTGTGCACATGTCCCATCTTAAGAAATTGTGGACTCTGCTCTAGTTGTGTGTGTGTCTGACTCGTATGTGATCTGGGACAGTGCCTGTGGTCAGTTGACGTACTCACCTACTGTAGATCTGTCGTCGATTGGCAGCTGTCAGCGCTGAGACATCGAACTCAATGGCCGAATTGGAGCGCTTCAATCCGTTCGCCTTGTGCAGCTTCTTCATAATGTGTTTTACTTTCCTAAAAGCGATTCGAGTTCGATATGATGTGTGAGATGTGAACAAAAACTTTCTTTCTTTTCTTATTTTTGCATTCTTTTTTAAGTGTCGGAAAAGCAAAGAAACTGAGGAAAAAACTTATTTTTACTGAGGAACTTTCGATTGGGATATCAATTTGCTAGCCTTTGCGTAAGTTTCATAAAATTATGAGAGTTGCCATAATTTCGAAAAGAGAAAACTTTGAATCAGTTAGGTATTGGGCATCATTCATGACGAAAAATGGGTACAAAATCTTCAGGGGGAAAACAAATTGAAAAATGTATAATTAACAACATTAAACTATTATAAAAGTAGAAAATCTTTTATCTAAGCAGAAATAGTAATAGATAATCTAATAAAAATTGAGAAAAACAGAGCTTTTAAAATATGAATGATTTGAATGTACTCCATTGGGTCGTAAGAAAAACGGTGCTAGCTAATGCAATGCTGTTAATATTGTATAAAATGTAGAACATATTCTAATTTTCATTCCTGTCCTTTCTTTAATTTAATAATTAAAAATTCTTAAATTACTTGACTTTTAAATTCAAACCAGATTATATTTAAGGATTTAATCCAAGCAAAGCTTCGACTTTGCCTTTGCGACACTTGTTTTAGTTGAATTATTCTTATTCAATATTTTTATTTTGATTTATTTATCTTTTTTTAAATTGGGTTTTCGGTCTGTTGTCGTTGAGGAAACTCACTTTTCCGGCACCGGCGGCCTGACGAACGGATCGTGTCCCGTTACGGCGCTGGCGCGGTTGTCGAGCCGCTGCTGCTGCGCAGCTTTGTTGAATTTGAACATGGTGAAGGACTTCTTGGCGCTGGCTACTTCACAGACGCGCACGATGATCTTGCGGCTGCTCTTGAAGACCGTGTTCAGCGTCTTGTAGACGAGTATGGAGACGGACTTGGAGGCGTGCGTTTGGTGGTTGTGGTTGTGGTGGAGGTGCGGATGCGAGTGCTGGTGCTGCTCGCCGTTTGGCTGCAATTGGGGCAGTGGATTGGGCAGGGACTGCTGCTGCTTCAGTTGATGCACTGCAGCATGCGTCGACGACGACGTCGATGATTGTGATCGGGTGATGACTTTCTGTACTGCGGGCTGTACGGGCTTCGGGTGCTGGTAGTGCTGCTGCTGTTGCTGCTGCTGTAGTTGCTGTAGCTGCTGGCGGTGCTGCTGCTGTTGCCGGTGGCAGCTGATGATGAGCTCCTGCTCCTGGCTTTGGAGCGCTGGCGGCGCGACGGTTTCACTGCAAGTGTCCTATTATCGACAAGGATGGATGCACAAATCGATAATCGATAACAAATTGTGTGTGGTTGTTGTTTGTTTTGTTTTGTAGTAGTAGATGTTGTTGTTGTTGTTGTTGTTGTTGGTAGTTTGGAACGAAAAGTTGAGTTGCGAAAAGAAATGGAAAGACATATGCAATAACAGTTTAATAAATAAGTTTTCTCAAACTTCTTACAATAAAAAACACAGCAACAAAAGGGAATTTTACGAAATAACGAAACTGAGTTAAGCGTTAAGAAAATCAAAGATTTCTGCATTTGGCATTTGCATTTGCATTCGAGGTGTCGCTCCACCTATTTGACGTCACATTTAGCACAGTTCAATTGCACTGCAATTGATTAGGTCTGCTTGTGTCTGTGTGTGTGAGTGTGAGTGTGTGGGTGTGGGTGTGCGTGTGCGCGTGTGTACGTGTGAACGTGTGAAATAAAGTGTTTGTCGTAAACGAAATATATTTTGCTTGCGTTCAACTATGGGAATATGACATTCACAATAAGCATTTGACAAGGCCTTCCGCTTGTGTACGCCATTTGAAACCAAAAACTGCATTTCGGCAACTCAAACAAAAATGTTCAAATTTTCACAATTTTGTAAAGCCATAAGAATAAAGAAGGCAAATAATAATAACATGCGAAAATCGTAAATTTTTATCAACTAAACTAATTATTTGCAGCCAATATTGGTTTTGTTGCATATTTGCATAAATATATATTCAGTTGTATACAAAAAAGCGAGTCGATTGCTAAAACTTGCGTGTGGAACTAAATCTGTGTAGTGTAGTGTGAAAACACAGCCAATTGCTAAATTATTGAACTTTTGTGAATTTCTGCGTTGCAAATAAAAATTGTTGAAGACATTTGTTCGATTTGATGCACTTTTGTGGTTTGCTCGACTAGTTTAAAGTTTTGTTTGAATATTGCAATTTTGGCTTTGGCATTTGGCGTTTTGGCTTCAAGCAAATTGCGGATTTACCTACCGATCGCTCAAGCAACAAAGTTTGCAATAGTCCAATGCACGATGCCTATGTCTGCAGTTCGATTACAATGTTATATATTATATAGTGAAAACAGTTTCGGTGGATTGCATAAATTAATATAGGGAATTGGGCAAGTTTCACTCTGGTGTTTAGTTATTTCAAGTGAGAGACATCTGCTCGTATAGATATCGCGAGATCGAGGAATTAACTTAGATGAAACTGATTTGAGGAGTCTTTTGAAAGCATTCACTTGCTGTGCAGCTCACATTCAAGTTAATGTTAAGCTCAATTTTTGGTAGACTTGTAAGGGACTTTTAGCTTCGAGAACAACAGTAAATATCTATTCAAGATCTTTTGACTTCGGCGCTCTTCAGTTGACCTTCAAGTCAGCTTTATACAAAGAGCGCTTAGGTTCGTAGAATATCATTTTACGCATTCGACTGCTCACGTGTAACTGCACACATACACCTACACATCCACTCACACTCACATGCATACACCAATTGTTTAGCTCTGGTGGGGAGGATGACGTGTGAAAAGTAAGCGCATTTGCAGCTAAAAGCAAAACATTTGCTTGAAACTGTGGGGCTTTTGCTGAATGCCATGGCGACACGGCCAAAAATCCTTCGTAGTGAAAAGCCACAGCAACAGAAATAATTGCAACAGCTATTGCAACAGTAACTGTAACGGTAACGGCAACGGCAACGGCAACACAGTGACAGGAACTTTTAATGGACGTTTAAATAAATCATACGCCCCGTTTACCGCACCCACCCAGACCTGTATGTGTGCGTGTGCGTGTGCGTGTGTGTGTGTGACATTGAGCTCTATATGCCCCACAGTGGCCCATGGCATGGCCCCACGACATGTGCCTTGCACGTGCCTTGCCCGAGGCATTCTTCGCCATTTGTCTAATTGTCTAATTCTAATTTTACGCTTTACATTTTATTTGCGTTGTTGTTGTTGTCAGTTGATTTAATCGTATTCCCTTTCAAAAACAAAACATTCAGGCCACTCACTCGCCCTCTGCCTCTGCTGCCTTGTATGTGTATGCGGCTTATCTAATCAGGCGTGCGAAGTGCTCGACAATTGCACTGCCTTTGGCTTTTGCTGGCTTTTTTGAGGCTTATTGATTTTCTTGTGTGCCTTCTTTTGGCCCGTCTTAGTGCCCGCTCTTGTCTTGCCATGAGGTCAAGTGGGAAGAGGCACGAGAGTGAGAGAGAGAGGGGGAGAGGGGACAGGCAGGCCGGTAGGCAAATTCTCAAATCAATTTCTATTTGCCAGTCCAATCCCACCCCCATCCTCTTGCTCCCTCTTCATACTGTTGTAATTGCTCATATTGCTTGGCTGGGGGAGTCAAAGGCAAAGGATGTGTCAAGATATACGAGTTTATAGCCATTACGATTATTGCATTATCCTGTCACTTCGTTGTACTATTGCAAATTAAATTGTCAATTTGCTTCTGGCACGGAATGGCAACAAAGAGAAGCGCAAGGAAAAACGCGATTCGCGGGCCGCGGAGCGGGAAATGGAAAATTAACGAGCGTTTTATATATCATAATACGCTGGCTTCCCGTCAGCCGCGGCAGCTGCCCCAATGCGAATTATTTACAATTATTTACTATCGAACATCGGCGGGCCTAATGCTCCCTTGGCATGGCAGAGCTTAGCGGCATTAAGAAACTGTTGGCCTTAGTCACATATCGATGTTCAAAAATAGCGAGAGCTCATATGCCCGATAAAGTTGTCTGTGCAGGTGTTTTGTTTACCTAATGACAGCCATTTATATATATAGAAATATACATTCACTGGCTAACGGAAAGACGTGCTAACTTCACATTGGACTTGGGCAAGAGTTATTTTCTTTTGTGGGCGAACTGTCAGAGTCTCCCGACTCCCCTCTACTCCACTCTGCCAAGAGGGGCTGCAACTTATATGTCATCCATTTGAGATGCGTTGCGCATTCCTCTCAGTCTCTCAGCCTTGCATTGAAGCCAACTTCTGACAGCCAGCGAAAGCGTCAAAGGCCAAAAATTCAATTGCACATCAAATTTAACGATAGTTGGTCGTGCTGTGGGCAAGGGCAGACAAACTCTCATTTGCCCGGGCGGTGATTAGCTGCGAACGCAATTTGGCTTAATAGAGAAACACCCGACACATCAAAATTAGCACCTGCGCGTCCTTTGAATATTCGGCCCGCTCAGAGCTGCACGTCGAAGGATCGCATCAGTATAGAAGCTGTCATTGTCGGACGGGAGACCAGCGCGAGTATCGAGGCTAAACTCTTTGGTTCCACTTTACTTTACCGAACGTGGCGTCGCCTTCAGTCTTCACTCTTCAGTTTGTCGCTCTATAAACACGAACACGTGAAAATTCAACCGGAGCTAAAAAAAAACGCGGCCACGCGGCTCGTTGGGTCGTCTGTTAATGAATCTAAATTTCAACATCGTTTCGGTTAAAGCGCAAAAGTATGAAAAATTCTTTATTCCAGTCTGCCTGACTACTACTACTGCTGCTAGGAGTGTGCATGTGTGTGTGTACGATATGCTTGCGTGCCTCATATCAGAACAAGGTATCGTTGCCTCCGCTGGTTTCTTTGCTTTGGTATTGGCCCGTTCTGTCGGCCCCTTCTAACTGGATTATAAAAATTGATTTTTAATTTTTATGACAATTTCCAAGCGACTCATGTTGCTCTCGCTACTGCTATTGCTCTCGGTCTCGGTCTCGGTCTCGTTCTTGCTCGTGCTCTTGCCATTTCCATTCCTATTCCCATTTGTGCCCCCTCCTGTTCGAGCACTTGAGCTTGGTCTGCTCTTTGACGATGGTCTAATGATGTCCCATATATCATGACACTTTTCATAGTGGGGTAAAACAGTTTTAATTGCTTTGATCGATTGTGGCGATAGTGTGGGAGTCACCCAGATAAACAATCGGAAAAGTTTGACTCAACTGGCATTAGGAATACATTAGTTAGTCAAAAGTTCGACGCTATCGAGGCTTACATTAAAGTGAAAGTGGCTCTGCTGCATTTGTCTTTTGCTCTCTTCATTTTATTTCTTCTTTTCTTGAAACAGAGAAATGTCCTGTAGAACTCGTGTCTGCACCTTTTGTGTCAATTTCGCCCACTGTGCTTTGTCTCTCGACAGCTGTGGGTGGCAATGAAACTCGCTCGTGACACATTAATCATGACCCGCTCAACGACTGTTTACCTCTGTTGACCATCGGCTTTGACCACGACTCCGACTATATAGCCGCCACAGCCATAGCCATAGCCACAGCCACAGCCACAGCCACAGTCATAGCTATAGAGCCACACATGTTCACATTTCGGTCGCAGGACATTCGTTTGTATGCAAATATTTCAGTTTGTTTGTTTTCTGTTTTGCTGTTTCCTTTCTCTCTCCCTCTCCCTCTCTTCCTTTCGCTCGCTCTCTGTGGGTGCTCCATATGGAAATTGGAAAAGTTTTTACATACACAACTGTAGACATTTGTATATATGTATACGCCGCGTTTGGCCTTTCACTTCGCGTGGAAGACACTTACAAACCGAATCGACATAAACAGCCCGCCGATGGGAATCAAAAGCACACACGCAACACACCAACAGGCACGCAACACACTAAGGCATGCCCGATGCCCGATGCCAGTTGCCAGTTGCCCGTTGCCCGATGTTCGTTGTCCTTTTGTGCGTTTGTCCTTTAATAAAATTTTATGTATATATGTATGGGTGTGCCGTGTAGTGTAGTGTAGTGTTATGTTGTGCTGTGTAGGGACGAACTGGCGCCAACTATCGTAATAGGCCCCTCGGCGTCGCTCTTAGTGGTCACCATACACAGCTCGTCCTGCCCCGCTCACCCCGCGCCGCACGCCTTGAATGTCAACTGCGTCATTCTTGCTCGGCCAGTTGCTTGATTTTTGTTTTCTTTCTCGTGTTCATTTTCATTTTCATTTTCATTTTTTGAAAGAGGGCTGCGCCCTGTGCCCACTTCCAGTGACCTTGTATCATTAACTTAATTGTTTCGCAGGCAGTCCAATTGCCGACTTGAATTATTCAGTTGGCTTTCTCTGTTTAGCCTTTGTCTTTCTAATGTCGACATCGCCTCCCCACTCCCCCAGTCCGACAGACCCCCAGTCCCCCGGGCCGCCCATCCGAGAGCTCACTCATATCTTGGCTGTCTTTGAATGCCACGTGGACTGCAAAGTCGTATTCATAGACCTCCCTCTTCCACCCGCCACCCACCACCCGCTACCCGCTACCCAGCACCCGCCTGCACGTTGTCTGCCCGTTTGCACTTGGCTCTTTGACAGTCACGTGCTGCATGGCTTAGTGCTACAATATAATAATATATCTGAAAGACCAACAACCGTTTAGCTTTGGCAGGCCGTAAAAAATGCGTCGAATGGGTTGCTTGGCCGACCTAATTGGATAAGTCTCATTTGTTTTCGTTGCAAGCTCGTTGAGAATTCACATTTTGAATGGAAAGTAGATTGCTGCAATGACCAGAGACGTCTACATACCTGCATCGTCTTATCCAGTATGAAATGACAACGATTCCACCTAATATCAAACCTCCCAAGGCACACCAAAATAGGGTCTGAAAGAAAGCAAAGGTAATCGAATGATAAATGGTATTCATAGAAAGAGCTATAAGTGAATTGAATATGGTTAATGAAACACACTTTTTTGAATCTTATCTTAATTTAATTGATGTCAAAGGTCAAATGTCATTTTGGTCACTTGAAGGATTTGCGAACAATGGGGGGAGCCGATAGAGGGATTAGCTGGAAAAGGTTTCAATCATTCGATACATTTAAAGCAATCTCTCCCGATGACCTTTGAGGCTGGGTGTTGTTTGGTCTGGTCTGGTTTGGTCAGATCATCAATTTGGCGGACGACGATGTCAAATGCATTGGATTTTTGGGTCAATGTGTGACATGGCCATAAAAATCAGTAGAAAGCTGTCCATTCACGTTGCCCAAGTCGGATGATTTATTAATTGAAGTTCGGCACCGACCGAGATAAAAATGTCTCCCTCTCCCTCTCTCTCTCTTCCTCTCTCTCCCTCTCTTTCTCCCTGTTAATGGGATAAATGCGCACAGAAAGTTTGAAGCAGTTAATTAAGTGCATTGCCCTCTGAGAGCGCTCAGCTTCGGCTGTAATTTCCGTGAGGAGAGAGACGCATGTGCATGAGAAATGCAGTAAATGAAACCATAATGGCGGTCTGGCACTTGGCAGCATGTTACTCGGCAATTTGTGATTTTCCAACAATTTCAGCACAATAAAATCCTATCGTTGGCTGCCATTGTCTCTGCCATTTTGCTGGTCTAAGTTCATCTGAAAATGGCAGGCTGCCAAGCTAGATGAATGTGTGAAGGGATGTGGCACGCTAAACGACGAGGGAGGAGCGGGCGAGGAGCAGGAGGTGGAGCACGGGCAGGGAAGACGTCAGACTTTTTATTGCTGTGGGCTGCATTTTCACTTTGGCAAAGGAATTAGGAAAGACTGGAGCCGGGCGGGTAATCCTCTGTTTTACAATAAATTTCAATTAAAAGAAGATAAAATAAGACAAGAAGGTTATTTACTTTCCAAGTAATATGAGGGATGATTTGTATAACGGAAGAAGAGCCTTAGCTCGACTCATATTTTTGTTAGTTCGCAAATGTTTCAGACTACTCTCGCATATATATATATATATATATATATAATCTATTGAAAATGTGCTTTTCGAGAGCAGAGTTCAAGGCTATTGAAGTTACGGTACTTACAATCCAGTAGTGCGATTCAGTATGTTTGCTTGGATTCAGTTGCATCGCACGTTCCTTTCATTTATGCACGTCACAGTGGGTCGGCTGAAATGTGAATTGGGAAGAGAAAAATGCTGATTAGAAAACAAATAATTTACTCATCAAATGATTTGGTTTTTAATAGGTGCACTTGCAGGGCTTTTTTAATTGAACTTGAAAAAGTTTTGTGCTTGTAGCTCTGCATAGTTGTTAGGTAAGAGGATTTCCAGGAAGTCTCTCTTATGTAGCTCGGAAGTATGCTAGCCAAATTAGTTTAGGCCAAGTTGCTGGCGCTACGTACTTGTTCGACTCATTAGATTTCATTGATTTGTTTTACCGAACATAATTGGCAAAGTGTGAGCTCGGGCTGCCATTGATTGAATGAGCCGACAGATTAGCTTCCTTCATCATATTTCAAGAGCACTTAATTTCGAGACGACCCTGCGGGGGCTGACGACGACGTCCAGCTGAGCGAGCATATCGAAGTAGGCAGGCTGGTGGGAGTGTGAGTGGGCGTGGGCATGGGAGATTGTGATTTACGAGAACCTACTCAATAGAGTTTTTCAGTGCCCTTTGCCAGGGAAATTATCATAGCATAGCTCAGCATAGCCGACCCGGCCTGACAGGCCGAGCGGAGGGGGAGGAATTGCCAGGGCTGTGGGGGAAGTTGTTGAATTTTTGATTTACTGAAATGGTTTCAGCTTGCCGTTTGGCATTTGCACACAACACGTGGGCTGCCAGCTGAGCAAATGGCAAACTGTTGATTTAGTCTCTGAAATGCCAGTCATGTAGACCCTCTCTCGGCTCTGTATCCCGGCGCATCGAGTGCTCGGCACGCGCCTGAACTTTGAACTTTTGAACAGTGGACACGTTGACGCTTCGCTGGAACACGACAGCCATTCAAGCTGTCAATCAGCCTCGCTTGCCCCGGCTCTACACAGCCAGATGTGTGCAGAGATGTCAAAATGAACTCGAATTTACTTAATTCCATTTCCCCTCATAAGTTTCCTTAGGCAAATATATATATGTATATATGTACATGAATATAAAGGTCAAGTTAACAATCCAATTTCATGTAAACTGAAAGCAATTGACAACGAGCCGCGGCATTTGAATTGACAGCAAATGGCGTTCGAGTCGATGGCAAAGGCACGCGGGCCAGGCCAGGGCAGGCACATGCCATTCCCCAGGTGGCCATTTGCATCAAGTTGTAAACCGTTATTCACAGCCAAGCATAATGGATCGACGAGAAGGTGGCCCGCAGCGAGTGGGCGGGGCGTGTGAAAAGCATATGGCGCGAATTAACAAGTTTGCTTTATGAGCGAAAAGTGGCCTAATAAAAATGTCAATAATATGACATACACACACACACACACACACACACAGACCACAGACACACACACCCACAGACATGAACTGAACTGCTTGGCACGCCAAGTAAATTACTAATACACCGCGTAAGCCGCACGTCTGCTGGAAAATCGACTCTGTGGCAAGTGGCAAGTGGAAAGTGGCAAGTGCAGCTGACCGACCGAAACTGTGCGCCACATTTGGCGTGTGTTGAGTGTGTGCGTTCATTTATCATCAGCTGGCTGTCATGTTGAGCCAGTCAGCGTGATTTGTCCCGCTGCCAGCTGAAGCAGCTTTGCCTTCGTCTGCCTCAAACATACATTTTGATGGTTATACTTTTGTGTATGTGTACGTGTGTGTATGTGTATGGCACACATTTGGTTGCGTGTTTCGTTCGTGGTTCGTTTCCCACAAGTTGTGTGTGGCTGAAAGTTTTTTGTCGTTGTCGTAACAAACTGCTGAATTCCGTGCACTGTTAGCGCCGCATTACGTTTAAACAATTAGTTAATTATATAAATTAACGCCGTCTTGATGTGCACTCATTTAATTTGGCATTAATTGTGCTTTATTAGGGCTGCGACATTCATTGAAATTGAGTTAAGTGCACCCTAAGAGGCCCATTTAATAATGCCAACGGCGGCTTAAGCTGAGCTGATGTGGGCAATTCACGAACCAACATTCAAATGAAACACGTATCGTCTAACATTCCATCACGCTTTACCTTCCCTCTTTGATGTACCTTAATACTCATTTTCATGTATTTATAAATATGCAGATGTATTTGTGTGTATGCATACACATGCGTATATATGCGTATTCCCTTAACGGAATACAGACCTAGTAATTAAAAAATTAACAGTTATTAGAGTAAGCTATTGCCTCTCTATGCGATTCTCAATAATTAAATAGCTGGAGGAGTATGTTTCCTTACATGTCTACATGCATGTGTGTCTATATATATGTATATGAATAGTAATGCATAATGTAATAATAGTTGACCTCCAAGCCTAGTGCATCTCTGTCTGAAGAGGTGTCCAGCGCAGTCGAGTGCGAGTATTGAGCTTTGCTTTTAGAATCAAGGCGAAATTCAAGTTTACACACTTCCGGCTGCAACATTTTCGAAAAAGAAGAAAACAAATGGCAACGGCAATGGCCGTGGCAATGAGAAATGGCCAGAAGCGAGCCAGGCAGAAACGTGAGCGTGAAATGTAAATGCAAATGAAAATGAAATAAACAAGTCTCGGCCGCTTGTCAGTTCCGCACAAGTCTGCACGGAAAATGGACGCCGGCAGTTGCCATAAAAAAGTATGTAAATTCTATTAAACTCAATCGACACACACACACACACATGCACATGCATATACACAGTGTAATTGGATATACGAAAGGCGAATCGCAGAGATTATTGAAATCATGAATTGACAATCAGTGAAATTGATTGCTGCCCAAGTGAATGAAATACACAAAAACACCTATGAGGTAGCACAGGTTAGGGCAGCAGATGCCTCTGCCTCTGCCTCTGCCTCTGTGTTAGCTCCAATGTGGGGCAGGTCAATGCTTGGACGAGTGGGCGTGACGAATAGGCTGGCCAGCTGTGGCCCGAGTGACCCGAATTTGTTGTGATAACTGCCGAGCACATCCCGTAAAAGCGACGATTTGAAATGCCATTTTATTGTCGGGCCCACCGGTAATGGCCAGGTGCTAATCACGTCGACCTGCCACGGATGTGGGCACGGAATTCGTCGCTATGACGCAGCCGTGACACTCGCCGCTTTGAATCCGACTCTGACTCCGGCTCGGGCACGGTACCGTCACGTTGTCCACAACATCTGCCGGATGTAATAAAAGCAAAGAGCATGGGAGCCATACAGTGGAGCCCAGGCCCAGGCACAGGTAATGGCAATGCCAACAGCAGCAACAGCAGCAGCAGCAGCAGCAACGGAAGTGCAGGTGGTAACCATCCTGTGTCTCATCAGCCATCCAACCAACCAACCAGCCTGCGAACCAACCAACCAACCATTGACCATCGTCCGGCGGGCACTTCGCTTGGTTTGTGTCGATATATACATACATATATATGTATGTATATGTGCGAGCTCGTAAATTTAAAAGGCTCCACAACGGCAGCTGCTAGCCACGAGCTTTCGGGGCTTTTATTTCTATACATGCATATCATTTTATGCATATTCACAAAGTGAGCAAGCAAAGAGAGTATATTAGTTTTGCATTGTGCAGAGTACGGCTTCAAATATGTTCTCCAGCTTAGCTAGCTGGCCGAGTGTTATGCATTCGAGGCTGCCCGTTCTCTCTCCGCACACAGTGTACAGAATGCGGCATTTGTAATGGTAATGGTATGTCGGCTCTCAACATATTGCACAATGCAACCAGTGAAACGAAGGCCGCGTCGAACCTTTAAGCTTCAAGTGGAAACCTTTTGAAGCAGACCAAAGGCTCTTGTGGT